GGGGGTCTTGCTAACTTTTTACCTGGGCTTTGTTTGCTTTTTGTTATGATGATGAATACCTAAGAGAAACAGTTTAAAGGTATGAAGGGTTTTTTTGACTCATGGTTTAGTCTATAGTTGACTTGCTCTATGTTTCTGGGTCTGTGGCAGAAGGATGCGGTAGCTAGAGATGCTTACCTCATGGCACCCAGGAAGCAGAGAGAGTATAACTGTGTTCGTGGGATTCTTTCTTCTCTTTTTATTCCATCCAGGTACCCAGCTTAGGGGATGGTGCAGCCCACAGGACAGGTCTTCCCCTCTCAGTTAGTCATTTCTGGAAACATCCCTATAGGCATATCTTTCAATCCAATCTAGTTGACAATCAAGATTGACTATCCCATAGCCTTTGGCCCTCAGGACTTACACCAGTGGCCCCACTGGGTACCTTCTTTGGGTACTCAGACTTTCAGCCTCTGCTTCCCTGGTTCTGAGGCCTTTAGACTTGGACTGAGCCACAAGACTGGCATCACAGGGTCTCCAGCCTACAGATGGCCTGCAGAGGGAATTCTTAGCTACCATAATTGTGTGAACTGATACCTCTCATAAGGACCCTCTCATATGTCTATATACATATCCTGTCTGTCTGGAGAATCCTAATACATACAAATTCTTTCCACTCTGTGCTTGAAAACAATTCTTATTCTTTTAATATTTTAGAGTATGTTTTGAGTTTATATAATTATCCTTTTAGTATGTGAAATCATCTTTATCCATTCATGTATCAGAATAATTGTGAATTTGCATGTCATCCTTGCACTGGGGCATGCTAATCTCTGTATCATTCTAGTTTTAGTGTATGTGCTATCAAAGCTGAAATGAGCACTAGAATAACTGCATCTTCACATGATGGTCAACATATAGGGTTTTTTTTGGTGGTACTTGGATTTAATTTCAGGGCCCACACCTTGAGCCACTCCACCAGCACTTTTTTGTGAAGGTTTTTTTTTTGAGATAGGGTCTCATGAACTATTTGCCTGGGCTGGCTTCAAATTGTGATCCTCCTGCTCTCTACCTCCTGAGTAGCTAGGATGACAGGTGTGAGCCACAAGTGCCCAGCCATATAGGTCTTAATATTGGAAAGAACTCAGAATGTGAGTTCTTCATTGTAGCTATGAGCTTTTAGGGAAGGGTACAAGGTTTAAGCCTGATTTTTAAGGTTCTAAGGATTCATCCTGACTTTTCTCTTGATTTTCCCAGAATAAAAGATGCCTTTGTTAAGGATGCCAGTGACTTTATTTGTAGTTTCAGAATTGTTAAACCCAAGCCAAGCCTTCTCCCCCTTCCCTCCTAATTTCTCCAATCTGCTCTACTATACATAATCTTTGTTCTACTTGCAGATTCTGAATTTTCCTAGACCTTTCCTACATTAATGCCTTTGTTTAGACTACTTTGGGAGCTCTAAATTCTACCTGTCCCTTAAGCCTAAATTCAATGCTTCAACTCTCCATGAAGTCTTCCTTGATTTCTCAAGTCCACCTGAACTCCCTCTCCTCTCTTACTTGTCAGGCATGAAATGTACTACCTAGGAGCTCAGGTGATTTTCTGACAGATACCAACATCATCTATACACCTGTCTGATTCCTTCACTGAACCTCCTTGAGAGCACCTTGCAGACTCAATGCTAGATGGCTAAATGAACAAGATTGTAGAGATGATTGTTTTCCCTGACTCTTTTCTTAGACATCTCAAATGTCCACTATATGCAGTGAGAGAGAATGAAGGGAAAAAGAGGCAAAGGAACAAGGTGGTGTCCCTTGTTCACTCCCTTGGAGTGCTGTTGCAGGCCATCAAATGTATGGGGCACTGTCTGGTTAAGCTAGGATGGAGATAGGGCAGGAGCATCAGAGGACTGGTTATTTAACCTTTTCTGACCTTAGGTGAGTCGCGATTGGATTCAAATCATGTAATTTTCTTCTTATAGAAGTCTTCACGGCTCATTTCTTTCTTCTTTTGTTCTGTCTCTGTTTTTGTCTTTCTCTCTTTCAATATAGATGTATATCCCCAGCTGGCCTGAAACTTACTACATAGTCCAAGCTGGCCCTAAACTTGCAATTCTGCTCAGTCTCCTAAGTGCTGGGATTACAGATGTGTACTAACACTTGACGTTAATGGCTCATTTCTTTGCTTCCTTCAGGTCTTCTTAGATGTCACTTTTCAGTGAACTTTCCTTTCCCACTTTCTAATTTTTTTTTTGTGGTACTGGAGTTTGAACTTAGGGCTTTGTGCCTGCTAAGCAGACACTTTACCACTTAAGCCACTCCACCAGCCTTATTTTGTGTTGGGTATTTTTAAGATAGGGTCTCACAAACTATTTGTCTAGGCTGGCTTTGAATCATGATCCTCCTGATCTCTGCTTCCTGAGTAGCTAGGATTACAGTTGTGAGCCATTGGTACCTGGCACCACTTTCTAAATTTTAACCGTGGATACTTTCTATCTCCTTTTCCCTGCTTTATTTCTTCTTAGCACTATCACCATTATCTATTAGTTATTTTCCTCTGGAATGTGAGCTCCATGAGAACAGTGATTTTTTTTTAGTTTATTTATTTTTAATATTCTGCTGTACCCCCAGTGCTAAGAATAGTGCCTGGTATTTGTTGAATAACAAATATTTGTTGAAAGATTTGAGCAAAAAGTCTATTTGTTTAAGAAGTACCAATATATGGGTATACTTTACCTCTTTCCTCCATTTTTTCCTTGACATTTCTCCAGAAATTTTTTTTTTTTTTTTGGTGGGACTGGGGTTGGAACTCAGGGCTTCATGCTTGCAAAGAAGGGACTCTACCGCTTGAGTTATACTTCCAGCAGATTTATACTCTGGTTATTTTGGAGATGGGGTTTCATGAACTATTTGCCTGGGTTGGTCCCAAACTTTGATCCTTCCAAACTTAGCCTCCCAAGTAGCTAAGATTACAGACAAGAGTCACCGCCTTTTTTTTTTTTTTTTGGCGGCTCTGGGGTTTGAACTCAGGGCCTCATGCTTGCTAAGCAGGCATTCTAACCACTTGAGCCACTCCGCCAGCCTTTTTTTTTTGCACTCAGGGCTTTATAGTTGCTAAGCAGGTGCTCTTGAACCATGTCTCCAGCCTTTTTGCTCTGATTATTTTGTAGACAGGATCTTGCTTTTTGCCCAGGTCAGCCTGGACTGAGATCCTCTTATTTTATCTAGTGAAATCACACCCAGCTTTTATTCTGTTGAGATGGGAGTCTCATAAACTTTTTCACCTGAGCTGGCTTGGAACCACAATCCTCCTCATCTCAGCCTAGCAAGTAGCTTGGATTACTGGTGTGAGCCATTGGCACTTGGCTGACATCATCTTAATCTCAGTTTGGCCAGCTGAACTCATGTCCCCTTAGTTAAGCATGGGCTCTATGACTGAGCTATATCCCAGCCCCAAGGTAATTCTTGTTTCTGTTAATGAGACTTCTAAGAGCGGGACAAGGTCACACATGCCTTTAATTTTAGCACTCACGAGGCTGAGGCAGGAGATTGCAAGTTCAAGAGCAGCCTGGGCTACTACATAGGGAGAACCTGTCAGAGAGAAGAGAGCTCCTATATTGCAGAGCTCTAAATCTAGTTGAGTCTATTTCCTAAATTTTGTTTCAGTTCATTCCCTAGTCTTCATTATTCATTGCTTCTGCTTTAGTCAGGTGTGAATCTTATGTTTTTGGCGGTACTGGGGTTTGAACTCAGGTCCTCAGGTGCTCTACTACTTGAGCCACTCTGCCAGCCTTTTTTATTTTTTGTGGTGGGTATTTTCAAGATAGGGTCTCTAGAACTCTTTGCTCAGGCTGGCTTTGAACTTGAACTGCCCCTGATCTCTGCCTCTTGAGTAGCTAGAATTACAGTTGTGAGCCACCAGCACCTGGCTGGTGTGAATCTTTTACTCAATGTAGAAGTCTAATGTGTAATCACCATCCACTTATTCACTGCTACCATTTTGATTTTCATGATGAAGAGCTTTGCTCAGCTTACTGTTCTCTTCACAAACTCGTGGCTGTTGATTACATGCAGAACTAAGGCAAATAATTCATAATTGTCAACCAGTTCACTTTGAACCCCCCCTTTCTGTAATGCTACATCCAGAGTTAAAGCTGCCACATCCTTCAAAGTACCAATGTTAACTCCTTTGTTACTTAAGTTCCCGAAAGAAAACAGGGCTGGAGAAGAACACATGGTAGTGTACACATGCTATATGTACCTACAGTAGAGATGTACATCTTTTCTAATACCTTAAGCAGAATTAAAATTTTCCAAAGTACTAGATGAGAGCTGGAGATGCAGCTTGCCTAGCATGCAAGAGGCCCTTGATTTGATCTCCAGCACTTGTCACACCATTTATTACTTTTTCTAGAGTTAACTGTTTATTCTTCTATTTCTCCCATTAAGAATTTGTTTTAAATTTTGTTTTTCGCTTTGATTACGAATTTTTGAGAACAAAGATTCATCTAATTCAGTTATAAGTCCTCCATTGCACCTAATTCCAGCAGACGGAAATCAAACCTTGGTATTGGATTATCTGGCTTAAACGTGTTCAATGTCAAAATTGCAGAGATATTTAGAAGTTACCTTTCAACCTATTCATTTGTAAATGTGGAAGTGAGGGCTAGAGAGGGTATGACTTTGTTATTAGGTCGCTATCCGGGAACAGAAGTTAGCCGTACCAATTTCCATCTAGAACCCACTGCTGAGTCTCTGTGTCCTTTCGCGATCCAAGATTGTTGGGTTTCCTGCTTTGGCCCGTCTCTAACTCTTAACCTTACCCTCTTAGTGAGTCTCTCTTCCTTCCCCTTGGATTGACAGGGTTCCCATTTCGATAGCAGTGCTGTAGGTTGCAAGACCTGCTCAGCTGTGGAAGAGGGATTAGTTATGTCACCGTCGGCTCCTCCCATTGGTCCGGGCGGGTGGAGCGCGGCGCCATGACGTCAGACGCCCAAGGGGGCGGAGCGGTGAGGGAAGGAGGAGGGAAGTAGGACTTCAACATGGCGGCTGTAGTACTGGCGGTGGCTACGGTGACGGCCTGGCCCGGGGTGGGTAGAGTTGGGAGAGGTGGCGTTCGCTTTCCCTAGGGGCATTGGGATTTCAGCGGGGACCGAGCCTGGGAGGCCGGCCGGCGCCAGCACCTTTCAGCTTTTGGGACAACAGCGGTGTTCAGGTAGGGGGGCCTCTCTTTGAGGGAGGAGGAGGAAGAGGGGCGGAGTTGGGGGAAGGGGCCGATACCAGGAGACTGGAGGTGAGAACCCCGGAAAGGGGCTGAAGGCCCAGCGGGATGAGAGGAGCTCCTGTAGAGTAGTGGGAGGGAGAAGGGGTCAGCCAGACCGAGACCGATGCCTTGAGGATTCTGGGAAAAGGGTCAGAGTGACGGGACAGAGTTGAAGGGGCGGAGGGCAGATGGGATGCGGGAAAATGGATTGGGATTAAGAGGACTATTACCGAAGTAGGCGGTGGGCACACCTATCCTGCTGGAGTGTGGACTGGGTGGGAACTAGAGAATGTACAGGAGAAGAACCCGGGTTTTAGTGAAGAAGCTGAGTGCTGGGAGTTGAGGGCTAGCTTGGAATGTGAGGAGTACATTTAGTTCTCTCTGAGGCGATGAGATCAGGGAGAAAGGGAGGAGGCCAGTCTAGGGGTGAGTACTGTTTGGGGATATCTTTGCCATTGTTTGCTTTCCTTTTTTGTTTGTTTCCTGAGTGGAGATTTACCTAGACTGTCCGTCTGGGCCCCGGAAACAGCACCAAATCTTTCTCGTGAAACCAAGTTACAGTTCATTTATTTGAGCTGTATTAGTGATCTCTGATCTTTGTATTATTGCCCCATATAATTGTTTCCAGAATAGAATCTTAGAAGTGTGGTGGGGCACAAAAATAGATTTTATGTTAAACTGGAATAAAATATTGAGACTTTTTAGACACTTAGAAACCTGAAATACTGCAAAACCAGATTTGGTAATTTACTGATTCAGTATATGCTGTTGTAATCTCACATGTTAGTGCCTTATCTCTTTACTCAGTTCTTAGTATTTGAGAATTTAAATAGATATGATGCATGTTTTCTTTTTGAATTTTGTCAGATTTGATGGTGGGAAAAATAAGGTACTTAATTTTTAGTGATAGCTTCTTGTAGTTAATGTTCCAACTTAGTTAAACTGAAAGTTTCTGTATTATGTAGCAGAAGACAAGAAATGTCCAAAGTCTAAAAGATACACACTGTCTGCATTAACTTTTCTTAAGTAGAATTTTATAGATTAAGTTTTTGTTAGAAACAAAACTATTCCTTGTTACTTACTTATTGAATGCCTACCGTGTGTTTCATTAATGAGACATTGTATTATGGAAGTAGGAAATTAATGTTGCTCCCTAAAGGAATGAATGCAAAGGAAGCAAACTAAAGTATGTGAATATAAAAACTTTCTGATTTTTGTCTTTTTAGTATTTAAGACTCATTACCTATTATGACATATTTTATGTGTGTATCTGATTTTATTTTTAATTCTGATTTTGAAGAAGATAGGAACAGTATCCTGATAAATATGTATTAGGTCTGTAGACAGGTGTCATCAATGGGTGTCGGTGCCCATCCTTTGGCATAGTCACTTTATCATGTGTGTCTTTTATCCTCTTGACTATGATATTTCTTTCTTTCTTTGGCAGTCCTGGGGTTTGAACTCAGGGCTTCGTGCTTGCTAGGCAGATGCTCTACCACATGTGCCACACCTCTAGTGACTATGATATTTAGGGTCTCTGAAATTTAATTTGGTCATTTTTTGGATATTTTTCACAGTGTTATAGAATGCATTACTTATGAGTATAGATAGATACCAATATTATATTTTTTTGTTATTGTCAAGTGCATTAAGATTATTCCAATGTAGATCATTTGAAGCATAAATTTTTCCCATTTAGTCAGAAGAAAAAGATATTCATTCACCATTAATCAAGTGGCTTTACATAGTCTTAAGAAATGCTTATTTGCAACATTAAACTTTTTTTTTTTTGAGGTAGGGTGGGTTTCCCTGGCTTGGAACTTGTGCCTCAACTCCCAAGTGCTGGAATAAATAAGCTTTTTCTTAGGATCAGAAATAACTTGAGGTGGAAGAAGCTTAGCAGTCATCTTGAGTTTTGTTTCCCACACAATGTGGAAATCCCTGCTCCTATACTGCAAAGATGAGTGAAGATTTGTTCTCTTTTCCAGATTTCTTAAGGAAATACGATTTTTAAGAAATTTTTTATAGGAAAAGTACTTTGTGTTAGACAAAGAAGGGAGTATTGCTTTTCAACCAGTAGTTTGCTGTTTCCTATAATATTGGGAAATAATTTGAGGGTAATTAGTGTTTTCCTGCGAATTGGGAGTTACAACTTCAGGCTTTAAAAATTTTATGTGAGGCCTGGGAGTGTGGCTCAAGTAGTAGAGTGCCTGTCTGGCAGCAGCAAGGCCCCGAGTGCAAAACCCAGATTGGAGGGGGGAGGTTAGTCAAGCCAGGAATAGAAATAGCAAACACGACATAATCTCACTTTGGGTAAGCAGGTAGGTTGGTTGTCATATGCATGCTTTTTTGTGTATTGAGGAAACAGGATCAGAAAGCGTAATTAAAGTTACAGCTTTAAAATGGCAGACTCTGAATTTGAATTCACACTTGTTCAGTGTGAACACTAATGCTCACATGGTCACAAGGCTGTTGCAATTGCTATGAATTATATCTACTAGTTTTAAAATAATGTCACTTAGAACTACTTGTTCTCACTGAAATAGTGTGATGGAATGAAAATTGTTCATTGAAATTTTAGTCACTTATGTCATCAGTATTCTGGAAGGAAATGAATACCTGAATATCTTGTATTTCACAAAATACATAGTAATATCTGAATAAGAGACTAAAAGTTTTCCTTTTTGTATTGCTGAGTCAAATTGGACTCATTTTTATATTGCTGGGTCAAATTGAATCGAGTTCATTAAGGACCAAAATTTGTATTTGGCAGTAATCTGCATGTGTTCTCAGAACTGGATTGGTCATTATCAGTTTCTTAATGCTTACAAAACACTTCCAGTGTTTGAGTCATTGAATTGGCTCATGCTAATTGTAAATCTTGTGGTTACTGAGTCAGGAGCCTACAATATGTGTTTTGGTGGTTTCACTTCCTCCCCCACGCTTGATATTATGGGAATTTTTTTTTGTGTGTGTGGCTCTAGGTTTTGAACTCAGGGCCTCATGCTTACTAGGCAGGTGCTCTTACTGCTTGAGCCATTCCACCAGCAAGAATTATAATTTTTTTTAAACTGATTTGGTAAGTTTAAAAAAGGTATCTGTTTCACAAAAGCCAATTTTGAAAAAAATAAGTATTAAATATTTTAATTAGTATTTCCTGAAGCTGACCATATTTTCATATGTTCATTGGCAATTTGTGCTTTTCTGAAGAGTGTATTTATTTTTTTGTTTCTCATGTCCTTATTTAGAGTTCATGATATATTTTGGACATCAGTTATTTTTTACTTTGTGGGTTGCAAATATTTTCTTTGAATTTACTACTTGTCTTTTTATCTCATGTCATTTGGTGAGAATAACTCATAATTATGTAACTGTAATGAACTGAATTTTTCAGTCTGCTATAGCTCATGCTTTTTTTTTATCATATTTAGGAAATTCTTTGCTACCAGGCATACTATTTCATGCTCTTTTCTTCCTCCTCTCTCTTTTTTTTTTTTGTGGTGCTGGGAATTGAACCCAGAGCCCTGAGTATGTTAGGTAAGCACTATACCACTAAGCTACATTCCCAACCAGCATACTATTTTAATAAATACAGTAGTTTATCTGTGGTATCTGAGCTGACATTTAGCTACAATATCTGCTGGATTAGAAAGACAACATCAGTAGTTGCTTTACTGTTATTATTGGAGATATAATACTAGAGTTTTGTTAGTAGTATTTTTTTTGGTGGTACTGGGGTTTCAACTCAGGGTCTCAGGCTTGCTAGGCAGCTACTCCACCAGCCCTAAGAGAGTTTTAAAAGCAGCTTAATTGTATCTTATTCACAGGTTACATACATTTTCTAAGACTGATATACCAATAGATTTATGAATGAGGTGTGTATTTAAATTTATGAATGAGGTTTAACATTTAAATGTTAACAGTGCAGTTTGATGATAAGAGATCTTTCTTGTGTGGGCAGTATTAGATAGAATTGATAATCTGTCACTCAGTCTAAGCTATTACCCAAATGTAATACTAAAATGTATTCAGAAAGATCTTTTTGATGTCTTTTTTTCCAGTGTTGGGCTTTAGCAAGAATAATTGTGTAGGGTTACTGTAGAAACATCTTGGAAGATTTTTTTCACCCCCAGTACCTGGGAATCAGATCCAGGGCATTGTACATGCTAGGCAAGCCCTCTTCCACTGAGCTGCATTTCAACCCCCCCCTACCCCCCAAGTAAACCTTATCACAAGTTATATCAGTTAGTAAATTTTTTTTATCATATTATTGTGTGCTGGGGATACATTGTGACATTTATAAAATAGCTTACATCATTATATCTTTTTTTTTTTTTTTGCGGTACTGGGGCTTGAACTCAGGGCCTTCACGTTGAGCCACTCCACCAGCCCTATTTTCGTGTAGAGTTTTTTTGAGGTAGGGTGTCTTGGCACCATTTGCCTGGGCTGGCTTCAAACCTCGATCCTCCTGATCTCTGCCTTCTGAGTAGCTAGGATTATAGGTGTGAGCCACTGGTATCTGGTGCTTACATTGTTTCTTAAATCCATCTCATCCATTATTCTCCTCAATTTTTTTTATGGTCCAGGCTGGCCTGGTCATAAAGCAAGACCCTACCTCAAAAATAACCAAATCAAGCCAGGTGCTGGTGGCTCTTGTCTGTAATCCTAGCTGTTTGGGAGGCTGAGATTCAAAGAATCAAGGTTTGAGTTCAGCCTAGGCAAATAGTTCTTGAGATAGCACCTCCAAGATGACCAGAGCAAAATAGACTGATGGAGGTGTGGCTCAAGCTGTAGAATGCCTGCTTTGCAAGTGTGAAGTCCTGAGTT